AAGCAGCAGGCGCAGGCTGGAGCGCCCATTGCGCTGCCGTCGCCTGCCAGTCCGCGCTGCAGTATCGTCCACATGGAGACCGAGGAGGCGTAGAATCAGCGACTCACGGATGCGCGCGAGAAGGAGAGGCTGAAGAAGGAGGAGAAGTGCAAGAAGAAGGAGGAGGAGGCTGAGGAGAAGGAGAGGAAGGAGCGGAAGGAGCAGGAGCGGAAGGAGCAGGAGCGGAAGAAGAGGCAGGAGGAGGTGAAGGAGGAGGAGGAGCGGCAAGGAGGGCGATGAAGCCGCCTCAGTTCTTAGCTCTGCGCGATATTACTGTACTCTTGATTATGAAAATGTGTTCTTACTAGCTATGGCCACGTTACTACCTGATCCCTCCGGCCTTTGTACATTAACACTAAATTCTTGCGTCCTGGTACATTACCGCTTAGTGATTATCAGGTCCTTGATAGATTCGGAAGCCTCTATTCTTAGTAAGGAGTGCCTTAGGAACTGGGGGAACTTAAGATTACATCTACTGAGCTCATCGAATGCCTTAGTACAGGAATTTGCCCCTTAGCGCACCTGGCGCAGCGTCTCCTGACGTCTTACCTCAACTGACTCGCTGAGATACATCCAACTTAGTAGACTGGGTACGGATTCTCTTAGACTAAGGCAGTAATGGTACTAAGGCACCGCTAAAGTTTCCAAGCGACCTTATTTTCCTTAGTTAAGTCAGAAAGCGGCAAAGCGCGCCTGCCTTTTTGCTGATGTTTCCCGCGACGATTGACATTGTGGCGTCAATTGATACTGTGTTACTCGAGGATACTAACGGAACAGATGGATCGCAGCAATTTCAGGCTCTCTGAACTATATATCTCAGGCAAGTATGGAGAGATAGCTGCTCACATGCAACTTACCTACCTGGGTAGTCTTTGCTCATGCGCCAGTCATCTAAATCTTGATACTACATTCCCGGTTACCACAATATTGGCATAAACAGAAAAAAAATGATACTCATGTAAAGTCATAAAAAATGGCGATGGACTTGTATAGCCTGATCCTATGGCCTCTCACAGGGGAGACGTATTTCTCTTCTTGTGCCACAACGCATCACGGGCACGTGATTACTACCCGTACCCAGGGTTGTCAAAACGTGTCCGGGGTCTGGCATATCGTTCTATTCCGAGCTTGAGCTCTTCCTGCGATCGCGAAGTGGCCATCGTCAACGCAGTGTGGCTGATAGAGTAAGGTATAGCACTCTCAAGCTGTTAGAATCCTCCAAACGAGTCTCACTGATTACTGGCGAGAGACAGGGAAAGGGATGGGCTCTCGTCCAAATGCATCCATCCAAATTTGAAGCAAGAATAACAGTGCGCTTTCTATATAACTTGCATGCGGCTTGCCTGAGGACACGCCGTGTACCTGCTTCCTATCTAATTATTCCTCCGGCGACCTTGAGACGAAGTCAGCATCGTCGGATTGAACTAAGCAGTTCCAGGCGATCATTCACCACGGCGTTTACATCGCACTCGCAGCTCCATAGAGGCGGCATACGCTAACGGACGAATCGTTTACGCACGAGAGATACAACTAGGCCATGACCGTTTCTCTGACCCTCCAGCAGCAGCACTGCGATCGTTGGTTGATCAGGGTCTGATGTCGTCCTCTGAGCGTACTCTCCAACCTCACCCTCCCAACCGGCTCCTCCCTCCTCACAGAAATATTCATCGGCTCCTGCGTCAACGCCCTGCAAATACTCGACGCCTCTGAGCCGCATATGGATAGATCCCTGTACAAAGTCTCCTTTAGCCCCTTCTCCGATCGGTGCACAAGGTTGTGGTCGATCGCGCGGGGCACTTTGTCCGTGACTCAGTTGTAAGCAATTGTAAAGGTACTGTAAGGGAGGGCGGTCAGGCTCTCAGGGAAGGCGTACCTTGTAAGTAGGCGTGGGTCTCTGCAACGGATTGGATAGCAGGCGCCTAACGTCGCACCAAAGCCCATTACGCGCACAGGACGTACCGGTAAGACGAGACTCCAGCTACGACGAAGGCACACTAACATGTCACAAATCATGACATTGAATGGCCAATCGGCGTACGTGGTTGTTTGTTCCAGAAAGTCACTGACTGCCCGAGAGGACCCTAACATGATCACAGTCTGTCATAACGCTCTTGCTGACACTATCTCTCCTGTCGGAGCGTAAGAACACCATACGCAGGCGGGGATGCTCAAGCACCATATAGCTTCGACCATTATCCGTATGTCTCCCATGGCTGAGATCTTAGTAGATCAAATAAATTTCCTGTCACCGGTAATGATTTTGGGCCTGGAGGCAAGGGGAGGCGTCGGAGGTTTATATATACCGTCGTAGTAAAAAAGCCCCAGCAACGAGGTAGAAACAAAGAATATAAGAAATCATACCAGGCTTGCAGGGATACTAGTGTAAGGCCGGGTTGGCGATGCCCCAACCTAGGACCCCGGCATACCGGTATATATGTTTGATCCTAGTGCGGACATAAACGGCCAATTTTGAGGCCCTATGTCGGATATTTAGGCGGACATAAAGCCCAAAATTTCGGTCCATGTCCGATATATCACGGCGGACACAAGGGCCTTGCCGGTCTTGGTGTCCGATCACCTGGCGGACATACCGAGTCGTCGAAGTGTCAACATGTCACACCCAGCGTCTTTGCTATTGCGCCCCCGCGTAAACACGACCAAATATTACCTTTTCGAGAAACATATCATGTGACCTCCGACCCCTCCGGCCGCGTCACTAAAAATAACTGGACCCAGCCGTATTAAGTAAACGCCAATTCCATTGCCATAATATTATTTCAATGCATACACTTTGTATTGCCTCTTTAGTGCAGTGGTTATGCCGCCTGCCTCGAGTGCTGGACGTCTGGAGTTCGAATCCTGCCGTTGCAAATTGTTTTGTTTTGTGCTTTTAGGGTTAGGGTTTATTAATTTTCCTTACTGTTAGCTTTTATATCATCCTTGTCAGCCACATGTATCACAGCTATATAGATTTCAATGAAAATCTATTTTGCCCCGTCTATATGACCCTCTTAGTCCAGACTTGAAGACACTCCTATGGCCGGGCACGCGCGCGGCAGGAAGCCCGCGTTTGCCGACATCACGTGACATTCTTCTCAATATGGTATATTTGTACATGTTTGCACGGGGGCGCAGTAAAGCTACCTCACACCCAGTAGTCCTTGTACTAGGTTGAGTGGTGTCTCTTATACTCCTCAGTCAACTGTCAGCTCGTCTCGTATATATCCAGGTATATCCTCAGCAACGGTGAATGAAATGCAAGCTTTGGAAACAGTGGTGGATCTTAGGAAGACTAATATCCCGGAGTAATCATGTCACGATCTACTCGTTGCAGCGTTGGGCGTGTGCCGGTTTCGAGGTTGGATCCGTTTGGCGGACACACCGGGGGGCGCCCGAACATAGGTCACTTATGCGGACATAAACAGCCCAATTTGGGCTGACCGGATCCTAGAGGCGGACATATCGGGTCCAAATGTGTGAGGCCACAAGGGCCGAAAATCGGGCACTTAGGATCAAACATCAGTACCCATATGCCGGGGTCCTCCCAACCTGCGTCGCTTTTGATATGGTGGCGTTAAGTATGAGCGGAAAGCAGCTGGCTTCATCTGGTTTACATACAGGCCAACTCAGTGATGTGCCGGTCGACGACTAGTCGACCAAAGTCAACAAAGTCGACAAGTCGTCGACTAGTCGACAACAGTCCACGGTCGACCGTGAGAATAGTCGACCGGACTGATGCGTGGAGGCCTGAGCCAATCGCTGACCAGGAAAAGATGTCCCTGGCCTGGCCCTGGCCAGTCTTCTCGGCTTTTGCCTTCGGGGGGAAACCGCTGCATGCTGTTCGTACACCGTGGGACAGTCGACAACGCCGTGGGACAGTCGACAAGACTTACGGTCGACGCGCCGGACTGTCGACTAGTCGACAAGTCGACGGGTGGACTGCACGGACTAGTCGTCGACCGGCACAACACTGGGCCAACTTCATGCGGTTTAGAGACGGAGACGGTCAATCCACAAGGGACATCAAGTTTAAGTTTATGTGACAGATAGAAGCACTTTCAGCGTCTGAAAGGCCAACGTTGGAGTCTGCTGCGGGGAGTGTGGGCTTAGTAACTCAATCTCTGCATACTGTTAGTGTTTCTCGGAGTCCATGATACCACATCACTGTAACAGTTCCCCTTTCCACCGCCGCTGCAACGAGCAATGGGGACTATACCAGCCACTGCGTATTCATTGTGCGGCAGGAGACCGATAGGACGCACGTACCAGTGTGTTGCTGGGACCGAAAGCCAGTACTAGTGGTGCGCCATCGTCTTGGCAAGCTCAGGAGGCATCCTCACATTAGGCCCTAGCTAGCTTGTAGAACTTGTAGAATACTACTCAGACGGTAAGACGCCATACCCCAAGTGCATCGTGTAGTGCGTCTTGCGTCAGCAGAGGAAGCCAAGGATCAGTGGAATATCTGCGAACCCTTGGAACGACATATACACCAAGATGACATTGCGCTGTTGACCAACGCGTCTAGAATCTCTTGTACGGGAGGATGAGACCATTGTGATGTGACCCATTCAGCTGACACCAAGATGACATTGTACTAAAAATCGATGTGCATGATCTATGGCACCCGTCCATCCAGTGCAGCGTGTCATGCCAACTCTTCCTGAGCCTGCTCAATCAAAACTTTTGCAGCACTGGAGCGAGGTGTTATGCGAACTTTGAATGGTTCAGGGCTCCTAGATAGCCAATAATTTCTGTGAGCAAGTGATAGCATGAAGGACCTCAATAGCATACGAGACGAAGTTAGGGTGCATGGTCCCTTCGAGATGTATCTCGTTGCCATCCTGGTCCAAAGGTCGCTCGATTGTAAACACCGCTAGGACGTGAGATATGACACTGTATAACGCAGCATCAGCGAACCAGCGACCGGGACATGCTCTGTACGAGAGACATTGGTCAGTGATGACCATGTGCATTCTGACACGGACAAGACAGTGCACCGTCTACCCGAGCCAAACGCTTGATCTGGATCAGGATTGGGTTTTCCAGAGACGCCATCCTGTAGGAATCTTTCAGGTTTGAAGTCCTGCGGTTCGGGGTAGGTACTTGGGTTGGAAAGTAATGCCCTATATCACCCAACGTGAACTCCTTACAAGGCTACACTGCAGACCATTCACTTACCAGTAATTGGGCATTATAATTGACCCGCGAGGGATGTGATACCCCCTATATTCACTACTGGCCCGTGCACAGTGCGGAAGTCCTACGACAATGACTCGATAAGTTATCAGTGAATCTGGACGCTAGACTAACCGAATGGTGAGACAGGCTTCCACCTGATCACTTCTTTTATAAGGGCGTTTAAGTACGGAAGGTTGGGTCGATCGTCAGGCCCTGGGAGTCTGCCCGTTCCGACGACGTTGTCAAGCTCGAGAGACGCTTTCCGCTGCGCCTCGGGGTGGATAGCCATTGCTAGAAAGAAGACTTGCAAAACAGCGTACGTCTAACGAACGTCGTAGGGTCAGCAAGGCCATGCAAGACAGCAGATCCTTACCGTATCTATGGCCGCTAGAGTTACCTCATGAGCTAGTAAGTCAAACCAAAGTAGTCGGAACATACCCGTGTACCCTGAGAGCATGGCGAGATTAGCGACCTCTTCTAGGTCTGATCGATCTTGTGATGCTCGCGCGTTCATCAGTATCGTTGGCAGGGCAGAGACACTGGTCTGTCCTTGCGCCTGGGCCAGAGCGACAGCAGAGATAAACCGGAATCTTTACGCGAGCATAACAACGGTTTGGTGGGTCACACGTACCAGCTCATCCTTCACGAGTGATAGAGGTACGGTACGCAGATATTCTATGTTCCGCTTCCCCTCGGCTGCAAGTCGTTTGAATGTGGCGAGTGGAAACCAAGTCGGGATATGCTTCACTGCAGACGGAACCATGAACCCACCAAGAACATACCCACAAGGAACGACAACACACTGAAAGAGATTTGCTCAACCAACCAAGTGCCGGGGATGATACCAGCCCCCACCGAATTCGTAGTTGCTTCTGCCCACTTGAGGAGTGTGTTGTCCCACCCACTTATGTGTATGCCGAATATGGACTCTAAGGTTGTCGCAGCTGTAGTCCTACAATGAGTTAGACCAGGCAACTATCAGAGAACGTCGATATTAGCTCACAGACGGAGATGCCGAATGAAACCATCTGGATCCAATAGTAACCGGTGAAGAAGTGTTCGAGATTCCCTCGATATGATAGGATAATACTTCTTTATGACACCGGGGCCAAATCCGAGGCGAAACGCCTTCATTTGCTTGCGAAAGCTGTCATCGTGAGGCAGCAGGGCAAGCGAGGAACCGAAGCCCATTCTAAATCCTAAGTTGACTGTCGGGGAGGTATGCATAATGGTAAGACTAACAATTCGCTAACCATGATACTGCAGGGGCGATCTGAGTATATTGCGGAGCGGTCCAAGAAGTCGTAGACCGTCTGGGAACTTCCCAGGATGATTATTGTCTGCCTCATTACATTCGCTGATACAATGTCTCCTATTGGATGATCCAGGAGTGTCAATGTAATGATGAGGAACGTGCGCACCATAGGTCTTTGTCCATTCGATGAATGTCTCATATGGATTTCTTCTGGATACGTCGAACAGACTCCCTACGAAAGGTAATGGCTCCGGTCCAGGCGGCAAGCGAACCGTTCGAGAGCGGTTGTTGTAACGCCACAGGAGATACCCTGTCAGAGCAAGGAGGGCTAGAGGGAGAAGAGACATTCCAGTTGGCGGGTCGCAGGCCCACGCAAACTTTTCCACTCAAGCGGGTTCGTTCCTTTGAATGGTGAAGATGAGCCACTATGAAACGACGACGCAGCCGCACGAAAGCAGCAGCTGCCGGGTGTATAAAACCAAGCCGCCTTGTGTCATCGGCACGATACGGCTGAATCACAGATTGTACCTTACTTCGGCCCCATACAAGTCGAGTATGGCAGAGTAATGGAAATGGTCCTACGGGGCGACGAAATCGCCAAAATGGCTGCCGGACCCTTTATGCGGCACCCGTCATGTAATCCACGCAGCGTGTCCTATTCAACCGGTCATCTATTGGGCAGTCGCGCGAAGATACGAGACGGAGAATCACGCACCTGACATGAGATAGAACGTTCTGACGTCAATGAATGTCAGTCGCCGTTTACATCTCGCCTACTCAAGAGACGGGTACTCCAGATAATTGGACCAAAGGCCAAACCTCGTTGATACTGCTAGGTGCTGGAACGAGACGCAAGCAAAGGGCCAAAAAAAATATACACCGTCCACGTCCTAAGACGGATTTTGTGAGTCCTGCGCCAAAGACATTCAGATAGAAGATGTCCAGTAATAATGATAGAGATATCCGCTAAATTAACAATTCCTTTTGCATCCTAGTCTCCGATTACCTCCTGTCATTGCTATATTCAATACTCTTCACCGTCGATGGGACCGAACACGTTTATCGCTTGCTTCTGCTCTTTCTTGACATTCTCGACCACGGTCCCCCCCGTGTGGTGAGACCCGGAGTAGACGTTTGGCGCGGGCTTCTTCAGGAGTCTCCTCATCTCGACGTCCACGATATCCTTGCAAAATAAGTCCAGATCCAGGTCATTCTGCAACACATGCGTCAATGATCGTATTGCTCCACCAACCGTAGAAAGTATCGTACCTCATCATAACCTGCGGTGCATAGGAAAAGCCCATCGTCAGCTATCGCTACCAACCACAATACGGGCATCGCACCGAATGGCTGTTCAATCTCCTCTCCTGCAGCCAAGAAACCGAGGTAGATGAAGGCCGCGATCATAACACCTGGTATAGTGTACCAGCCAAATTGCTGGAGAAGCTGGAACGGTAAGAAGAACAGGTATATCCAGACCGTGCTATTGTTATCGCAGTATGTGAGTGCGCAAAGCAAACCGGGCATAGAAAAATGCACGTACTGCCTGATATGCGCGGAGAACACGCTGCGAACGAAGCAAGTCAGGCCACCGCAACTGAGGTTGTTCACGGACTAACGTACAATGGTAGCGGCGTCGTCAATATCTTCTCGAGACCTGTAAGACTGTCTTCTAAATTCGCAACATATGCAATCATAGCACCCAAACTAGTCCCTGCACGACATAACCCAAATCCCTTCAATGGAGGACGTCACGATGAAGGCAACTACACTCACCAGGGACAGTACCTCTGTCTTCCAAGACAGAAAACCATTCACTCAGGCACCACAGAAGCTCTAGCGGCAAATTCTCGCCTCCACCAGCCACACGAGGGCGGTGCTTGACATGCGTCAAGTACGATTGCTGCTTAGGTTCTCCATATTTCCTCTCCACACCTCCTTCCTCGCCTGTCTCATTATTCTGTAACCGACCGTATCAACGCGGTGTTCCGGGACGTACAATGGCGAAAGCCCAACGTACCGCAGATGGGAGCACATCCTTTTCCTTCTTCCCAAATAGGCGCCGAACCCACCCCACAGCGGTGCTGAACACGCTCTCAAAAGGAATGAGGTCTCCGGAAATCTTGCTGACAAACCCGTGCTCGCGGGGCATTGCGCCGGGTAACAGCGGTCTGTTCGGGTTATCAGAGTCTTCGCTACGGTCAGACGCACTGGAAGACGCCCGGTGCGCGAGGTACGGCGGGTGGGCAGGATCAAAAGTGCCGTAAGCGTTGATGGGCGGAACCACTGGGCTGATCAGAACGTCTTGGTTCGAGCTGGAATTTCGCCTCTTGGACGATGAAGCGGAAGGGCGGTGGACGATGTGAACGGATGGATGGAGGCTTTCTGGCGGCCCCTGGCGTTCTTCAGGTGGCTCCTTGGGTTCGTTGCGGTGGTGCGGGTGCTGCGGCAAGTAAGAGGATCGATTCTGGAACGTGTTGGCAGCAAACTTACGTCATGCAGAGGCCTGACGAGGTGGTAGAAATCCTCGTAGTAGATACCCATTTCCCCTAAGAAGGAGTCTCACGACATGGACTATCATGTTGAGGACCTCCTCACCTCGTAAATGATGTTTCATAGCCACAACGAAGCTTCGGACTATGTCAGTTCGGTTCTACGCCATCTGGTGGTGACGCACCCTTGAAGAAGTTCCAGCGCAAGGCGCTTCTCCGCCATGACCCTTCTCATCTCCTCTTCACCTCTTTTCATCACCCCACTATCGATTTCTTCCTGTGTCTTGGCCGTCATTCGAGGAGGGACGTGATACCATATCAGCCTTGCGAGCGTTCGGACGTTGCGAATCGCGTCTGCCCAGTACGAACGACCCATCCAATAACGATCATAGCTTAAGGTAGTATTAGTATTCATCACTAGTGTTCTGCAACTCTGCAAAGTCAGATACTTACCCGCTGGAAGCGCGGTACGAAATCACGAAACCGATGACCATACCTGCACCCGGCGATCCTTCAGCTCGCAGGTCGTGGTATTACTCGTGAACGCGTACCAAGAACGGTTAACAAAACAGGAGGCACCTCAAGGGATATAGAGCTCCTCATCGACATAGTCACCACGACTTAACGCCAGGGTCTGTAAGCCCACATTCCCAGTGCCTATCACGGAATCGACCTCTCACCTGCAGCGAAACCCGTATGCAACAGAACCGCTGGCCATATCCTCCATATCTATCCCGCACATAACCATTGGCACCTATTAAAGCACATCGAGCTGCCGCCCCACGTACCACTGTATCCTTCCCAAACGTCCATGTCACAAAGGTTCTATCCGGCACCAGAGGGATATAAATTTGAGTCGTGCGTTGCCCTTGGGCTGGAAGAAGCGGGTGTTGGCCTGTCGCCGACCGCTTCGACGCGTGCGATGTCATGACACCGGCACTCGGTGGTGGTAAAGGATTCTCTGCACCCACAATTCCGTTGAAGACGCGTCGAGGTAGGCGCCCAATACATCATATCAGCCAGGAGGGCATCTTCGTGGAGAATTCTCGCAAAAAAACACGCGATTGTCGCACCGCCGGCGGCTGTAGTGAAGGAACCAAAATAGCACGCCGTTGCACTGTGGCTTTGTTGTGACTTGCGATGGCCATGGATTGTGGCACTAACTCGCGTAAGCCTGAGACGACCGAAACTCAATAATTATTAGGCAGAGCAGACAAGAGACGTACCGCTTACTACTACCTACACATGTACACACACTGAAGAGCAACGATGTCCGTTGCGATCCCGGAGGGTACTACCACCGGTATACCGGCTGGCGCCACGACCAGAATTTATTAAAAGCAGTGAGGGGAAGCCCCTAAATAGACGAAATTGTGTGGTGAGTGACGTGGGATTTTTAGACTTGTGGATACCCGAGTATCTTTGACCCAAGGCCACTGAGGAGAAATTAAACATGATGGTCGGACCAGCTAGCCCAGACCTACGCTCTTTCAAGCTGTTAAATAATTCCTTCCGAACAAGTCTAGCACTCATCACTGGCAGAACAAAGGGACGGGTTGAGCGCTAACGTTGAGCTCTCGCCGGGATGCACCATGCGGATTTGAGGTTATGAATCACAATGTGCTTGCTAACAACATAACTATCCTTCCATACATATCATGAGGCGGCCGGGAGCACACTACGTACCTGCTTCTATGATATATATATCCCCTACGGGTTCCCAGGAGACGAAGTTAACCTGCATGAATCAAGACAAATATTTCCAGATGATTGATTACCACGGTGCCTTCATATCGCACCCAGGGTACCAAGCAGCAGTACGCACCTGCAGGCATGATGAACTATGCATTATTACCCGCAACTCAGTAGATGCGGTATACGTTGTATAAGTATATGGACAGACAATACGCCGAATCGCGTACCGAGAGGTGTAAGAGATATCCAGCAGTCGAACTTTACAATTCTATTGGGCCACGACCTCTTCGTCCCTCCAGCAGCAGTACTACACCCAAGCGAGGACATCAGATTCCAAGCAACTCAGCCTTCGCACTCTCCAACCTCTCCCTCTTCTTGACCAATTCCTCCCTCCTCGCAGAAACGTTTATCGGCTCCTGCGTCAACGCCCTGCAAACACTCGACGCCTCCGAACCGCCAATAGACAGGCCCCTGTACAAAGCCTCCTCCAAACCCTGCTCCAGTCCGCGCACAAGCTCGTGGTCGATCGCCAGGGGCACGTTATCCGTTACCCGCTTATAAGCAACTGCAAAGGTATGGTAAGGTAGGACAGACATGTGCACATGAACAACGAACCCTGGAAGTAAGCGCGGGTCTCTGCCATGATCTCGATGGCAGGCGCGAACGGATCCGGAGGCAAGAGCTTCGGGAGGTCTTCCGCTTTCACACCCTGGAATCCTAGTCTCACAAGGGCCGCCAGCGCCGCCTGCAAATCATTGAGTGGTGCCACCATCTCTTCAGACTCGTCGTAAGGATCTGTGGCCCTGCCTTGACCCAACTGGGACATGAGCGATGTGTTCTGGCTCTTCTGGCGATACCCCTTATAGTAAGCCAAAAACTTGTCCTTGTAGTCCATGTAGTAATGTGCGTTCAATGTGAATGGTTCCTCCTCGAGACCCAAAAGCCACTCGATCCGCTCTCTAGTGCGCTCCTTACGCTCCTGGACATGGTCTGCTACAATAAGCCTGAGGAGATGCGTAATTAGGAACACGTCGCTGCACGCTAGAATAAAACGTACATGATCCGCGCTTGCAGACCACTCTCCGCATACCGCCCGAATTCGTCCACGACCAGCTTCTTCACATGTTCAAATAACTGATTGTGGATAACGTCGAAAAGCTTCATGGCCGGGTCCGTCCAGTTCCTCGTGATCTCTTTGATGAAGAGCTTCGTGACCATGAAAGGATACTTGTCGGGCAGCTCCCTCGTGACCGCCCTACCCGAGAGGGGATCAGTGCTAGCGTCCACAGACTCGGAGCAGAGTGAGACACCTACTTCTTTGCCCGGTCCATCACCTCATCAATGTGAATAACTCGACTCTGGTTCTCCAGGATGATTTCGCCGTCTTCGTGGATCAAGAAATCAGGGGGAGGCATCGGCGGCGGGGGAATGTCTGAATCTGACGCACTGCGACGCCCCTTGCCGAAGAAAGACCCACTGGGGCGACTCCGCTTCACGTCGGCCCTGAAGTTCGGCGCGGTCGTGCGGATCGCCTTCTTGAACGTCTCGTGCGCAGGCTGTATCTTCTGCAAGAGACCGGTCTCTTCGGGAGTGCCTTCAAGCTCCATGGAGAGTTGACGCATAAAGTTCCCAATCATGTGCAGCACCTCGGAGACGGGGTCCGCGGACGGCGCCGAAGGCAGCTCTCGAATCGACTCTTCGGTTCTGCGGAGCAGGCATTGCAGCTCGTCTTGTATCTCAGGTAACCTGAAACACGGGCGGACGTGTTTAGCATTACTATCTAGGCCTTCACGGACTTACAGACCTTTTTGCTATGAGCTGCGATAAGAGATCGCTCAGACGCTCCGTCAGATTGCGCGTCCGAAGGTGCTTCTGGTCATAGGGATCCAAGGTAGACCAAGGCGATGTGTAACTGAAGAAGTGGTCTTCCGCCGCCCGAGCATCCTCCCAAGAAATCCCGGCCGTTAGATCCTTGGTACCAGGAAGCTTCACGCAGTACCATCCGTTATCAAGAGGTTCCTTTTCGTTCCGTATGTAGCGAAGCCAATTGTTCTCTTCTTCGGGGGGGAATACGATCAGGCTTCGTTAATGCGCCTGACATAGCACGAACATGAATACGGGTGCTCAGGATTACTACACAGACTTACCAACGATCCTCTTCCGCTCTGGGTCAGCCTCCATCGCAAGCCGATAGGCGCCTTGTGTCTCAAAGTCGACTAAAGGAAGACTTTGAGTTAGGCGGATGAATCATATCTGTCCTATTCACCTTCACAGGTCACCGTGAGCAGGATAATGCAGCTCGGCTTCTTGATGTACTTGTTGACGAGTTCCTCGACAAGCTGGATGTCGCGTACATTGCCACCCTGAGACACGCTAGCAATAAGGCCTAGCACATGACTTCAGTCGGTAGGGCTGGCACCAGGGTAGAGCATCGATACATACCGGGAAGATCAACAAAGGACAGATCTGCCACGTCAGGTCCAGTAATCTGGAGACAGATACTATTGGTCGTGAACGCAAGCTGACCGGCAATGGACCCGGTCTCGTCGTCGTCGTCTAGGAAGTGACGCGAAGTAGTGGCGGGATTCAGTACAGCCCTCTGCGCCCGGCGAATCCTGTCTTCCACTCCCGCCTTGTCATAGATGATCTCGCCAAACGCGACGTTCCGCGCCTGCCCGAGGTGCTCGCCATGCTCGTCTGTCTCAAAGCGCAACGATACCGTACAGTGCCAAGGTTCCTTGGAGTAGCTGAGCTTGCACTCCGTCGGACATCTGTGGCACGTTCAATAGTGAATAAAAAATGAGCTCTCGACCGAGTTACCGAGTGCAGGTGCCGCTAGACCGCGGTAGAGTGATGCCGGAGATGGACTCGATCAACGACGATTTACCAACGCTCTGCGAGCCAATAACAGCAATGACGGGAAGGTCAATATCTTTTTGCACGCTGTCCCAAGACGGGTTAATTCAACAATCAAGACACGGCGCCGGGATGCTCACCCAGTGCTGTGCAACCGGTTTATTAAATCCAAAAGCCGCCGCCTGGATTGGGACAGTTTAGGGTCTGACAATCCTACGCCACCTGAAGTTGGTAGACCACGGCTCTCGGAGACGGGGGAACGAACTTCAGGCGACGTATCCTGGGAGCCACCAAGCTGCAACATGTCTGGCTTATAAGGACGGAGTCGCAGGCAATTCGTTGGGGGGAAAACGCTTGGGAAGAGACCGATGCGGGAATGAAATCCAGACTATATACACATAGCTCGTCGCCTCGTGTGCGCAGCGAGTCTTCTGGTGATCAAGTTTCATTCATTTCCTGTACTTCTGTGGCCGATTTGCCCTTGGTGGAGCGCAAGGCCCGTGGTTCTCAATCATCTGTAAGTTGGTAACAACTGGGATCTCAAATAACAAAATACATTGTCATCGATGAATATTTTCGCTCTTGGAAACGACACGTACCTGGCGAAGAAATTTCGAAAGTCGGACCACGTTGGTTGAGTAGACGTGGGTCCCTGTTTGGGCCGCAAACAAGATGTCGCGCCACACGTGCCGACGGGCTTTAAACGTAGCTACAATGGATACCTCGAGGCCATCGCACGCCCCCACGTAAGTAAAGCCGTACCAGATGCGTCCAGAAGCCAAGATAGCCCTGGGATTGGTGTGCAACATACCAAACGAGTGCCAAAGAATGATCAAAATAGATCAGATGAAGCATGCTATCTTAAGAAATTACACCAATATGTATGATTATATATATCTGTCACTGTTAATCTAACTGGACAATGTGAGAATACGACAAACCTCAGAAATTCGTGTCACAACCAACTTACTTAGCATCCCTCTTGATCTCTAGTCGACTTACTCAGAACCCAACTCCTCGTCAACATGCAATGCCCCCAAAATCGCCTCCAGCTTTGCATTCCCGCCGAGCCTACGTATCTCTTCATACGCCTGCTTCTCGAGTGTCCCAAGAACGCCTAACGTGTACTCGAACGACTTTGTGTGGTGTCGTAGGTACGAGATCGTATGCGTCTTGAGTGTCGGCGTGGTCGGGCGTTTCTGCAAGACATCTAAGAAGATGACGTGCGTGGTAATATGAGATTGAGGAGATGGTAGGACGGCAGGATGCGTACTAAGGATTTGTCTGTTGGAGGTGTCGGCTCTGACGCCATGGACTACTGGGAAGGAGAATTTGCCCTCGCTCAGGTCCTCTGCGAAGCCTTTGTTCGTCGTATACTAGTCGATGATGCAAGTAGTGCTCTAGTAAGTACCCGGCAAACCCAATCAAGGAGTAGAACTGTCAAAAGCGGTACCTGGGAACTGTTGAGATTCATATAGTCATCGCGAATCTGGTAGTACACGCCCATGAGATTGACGAGCGGAACGTAATCTCTGTCCAGAACATTACAAAAGCATCAGCAGTATATTGTGAACGACAAACCAACACTACCTACACATCCACGTTCTGCGTTGCGCAAGCCATCATGAGCTTAATGCCTATTCGGAACAGACCCCCAGTTTCTAGGGGAAGCTTTAAGCAATCTGGCTAATTCTTATCCCCAGAGTTCAACTCACTATTGTTGACCATCTCGATGTATTCTTCCTCCGTCGGACATTGGAGCGAGTCACGCCAGAGCAGTTCCAGACCCTGGCCACGGTGGAGGTTTAGCAGTTCCGCTGCAGTATGACGCTGAGCTTCAGATGGACACTGGATCCACTCAGCGCTCACAAGTGACGATGCGGTCGAGCTCCTTCTTCCTCGTTAGATGATGGTCACGCAGGGAGAAGAGCTCCTGGTAGGCAAGGAAGTACACGTAGTTGGCTGTGTTGATTGTTTGCGGGATCCCATAGATCTTATGAGCGACTGCAACGGTTCGATTGCATTATAAATCTAGTGGCGGATATCAGCAGGAATACGCACCTGGACTTCCTCTCCGCAACTGCGAGTCGTCCTCGATATCGTCCACCCTGATGCGTGATGCGTTCGTTCATCCTCCCATTCTGCAGTAAAGCTCCCCGAAGAACACTCACATCAAGCTAGCGCTGTGCAGCATACCGACGACCTTCGTAATAATCTTCAGCTTATCTTCCGGTACGCGCAACCAGACATTAAAAGCCTCGATCATCCGTCCGCGGATGTCCTTCCCCGGGTTCCCCGTCGTATACAGGTACGGTTCTAGCAACACCTACAAGTTCGAGCTTCAGCGAGTATTTCCCTCAAGGTGATAAGTTACTTACACTTTCATTGCCTTCAGACCATCGATACGAATCCGTCAGTCGGGGCAAGATGTTCTCATACTTCGTAGGCGCCTCCATACGGCCTTCGATATACTTGAATTGCTGGAATCATCGTATCCAAACATGCGACGGACTGTTATACCCTTATACTTTTCAGCACTTTGTTACGCCCTTGTAACGATCCACGGGCTGTTACGATGCAGGAGTGTTCACGGAGAGTCGAACTTGAAGAGAGCCGTGACTCCAACTTCCGCTCGGATTTAGCCGAGGGCCTCTAAGTAAACCAATAGGATCACCGAGTACTCACCATAAAAGGCTCATGTGGCGAATACGCTTGACGAAGTCGGTTCGCTCAGTCACCTACATACTTACTTAATGTAATGGAAATCCTGCTATAGTGAGTCTGCTTTTCTGCATCTTCGCGTGCAATATCAAGCCTATCTGTACCTGACAAAAAGAAAGAGTTTCGAGTCTTAGTCAACGTCCTCGCAGAAAACATGACTTCTAGGTCAAGGAAGATGACTGATACTTCAAGTTGGTGACATCGCCCATCCTGTTCGTCTTGACCGAACGCCTCTCTTCCTTACATTCTACTTCGTTCGGCACAGGCTTGCTCGATACGCTTTTCAGCATCGGACGCTCACTGCACAGACTGCAGGGTCGAGTGTCAGGGTCAGTATGTGTCAAGGCCTCGGGCGCCCGACCCCTGTGGCTCCTATTTGTTTCTGCGCCTGTTCTGATGCGGTGGGGGATTATACTGAAAATGTCACGCAATAATTCACCCGCTCGAAAGCTGGTACGTGCAAGTCCAGTCAGGCGCTAATTCATTAGTGCCACTACACGAGCAGAGTCAACCGTAACTATCCTTCCAATCGATCTAGGAGGCATGAGAAGTCCAGATACAGACCGGGGACCAAGTAATGACACAGGGCACCTTCTGCGAGACAGACGCACTAATATTCTTTTCAAATTCGCCCCTTTCCGGAAACATCCAAGTCACGTCGCCTCGACCGAGGACGGCGGTGATCTCTCACTTCAACTGAACATCAGAGCTAAAACCGTCAACCCACGGCCGGCAGCAGTGGCATACGCTCTGGTCCCGACCACCTTCCGGGCCGTGAGCTTCGCGTCGAGGATGAGGCGGATTTCCGGGTGGATGAATCCCGTGATACACGGCTGCCATGGGCTGATATATGCTTCGATATCCTCCTTCCGGTCCTCTTTTCCGTCGGCAGGCGGCTTCGTGTACGGCTCGACGACGTCAAATGGTGATAGAGACACTGGGCGGATACTTCTTTGCGCCGTCCGCGAGCCACTCGTAACTGATATTGTAATTGATTCGCACATCAGCCCAAGGCAGCAGTCGACAGAGCCAGTTGTAATATATGCTGAGCCGCGCGAGGTCGTATCGAAACACAGCAAAAAATACCCAGCCCTATGTGGAATATTGCTCTGTGCTTTACGAGCTGCCTGAAGAAATGACTCTGCGCGAGATCTTCGGCAAAAAAAAAGACCTCCAAAAGCACGTTGGCAGGCGTGGTGACGATTCAGACGGATTCAGCTGAAATATTAATGAGGTGGTTTCTGTCAATCGATGCACGAAGATCATCAGCCATTCTGGATATGTATACCGAGGAATACTTGTCTTTGAGTTCTCTATATCTTGCATCGATAGCACTGAAGGCGGAAAAATTCCGTGAAGTGATCAAGTAGTCACAGCTCAACTTGCTCCGTCCACGCCTCTACCTTATCCCTAAAGAGACGTCTGCGGACATCTGGACCAGACTTGCTATGCGCTCAGCACCAGACCCCTTGACTAGATCGAGTATTGTCAGGTGGTCCACATCCTTTGTGCATAAGGCCTGTTAGACTTGCTCCACAGCCTTAGTATCTGCTGGTTCGTGTGGAGGGTTGGCACGCTTTGCCACCGTCACCGCAATCTGTCGCCTTCTCTCGTGCCTCGAAGCAATGTTGGCAATGCCGTCCAAGGCTGTGATCGCACCATCCTGATTACCCAGATACGAAAGTTGCTCTAGAAGAGCAGCGGGTGGGTGGACTTCATCATCCCAAAGGGCATTTATAACTTGCAGTTCCTCCGTTCATTTGCCTTTGCCCTTGGAGGCCTCGGCCCTTGACATCAGCGCCCATGAAGCGTTGAAGCAGGCATAGCAGTCGCAAGTAACGGCTCCAACCGCCGACGTGAACCCTTTAAATACAGCCCTGTGATAAATCCTACCGATAGCAGTGCATTCGGAATCGCTGCCGCACTCCTTAGTGACACGCGGATAACAACCGTTGAACGAGAGAATATACAAGTCAAAAGTTGTGTTATTGCGAGCGAATTCGAGCAATTCTTCACTAGGGCAGAAGTCCGCGACAAACATGTACAAATTCTACTCCCGGTGGCTGAAGGGCCCACAAAGACCAAGGGCCAGCTATAAGTTGCTACAGAGCTTTAAATATCCTCGGATTGAGCCTGGAAAGGTTCCAGAATCAATGACACCTATTTACTTGCCCTACCTATCACAAAACATGCCACGAAATACAGTAAGTCACTGTGAGGCAGGTCGTGATAGTCACGACATCAACAGCTCCGACTAGCAGAGCTAGTCAGGGACGGGTGACCAGCGCTAGATGCACCCCGTAAATCAGCTCCAGGTGACGTGTGGCTAGCAGCGCTTGCCGCAAGGTTCATGAGCTGAGATAGTCAATGGGATAGCTATGACTGTCTAGTGGTGAATAGCTGGACTTGTGCCCGCATGACCAGTGTTATCCACATCTGCCTACCGGAACTACTTCCACCCTTACTAGGTCAGACTTCCTGTATTATTCGGTGCTACAGGTAGTTCATGTATCTGGAACCTATATATCCATCCTTATATCCAGATTGACATAAATGGCTATAAATATTCGAGACACAATTACAGAACATGTTGCCCTTCAAACACCCATACTCACAGTGTACCTATCCTCTCCGATAACATGAGGCTCCTTGTCTAGACCACGAGCGGGTCAGAGTGCACTGTCGCAAGGTGCCTGTTGCCCCAGCGGACCATATATGCGCATAGTCCCGAACCTAGACCATAAACATTAGATGCTACCTGGAGCTGGAGAGGAGGCAACACACTGACACCCCAGTCCTGGTACTAT